TAGAAGCAACAGAAATAAAAAACAATTGTTTTTTTTTTTTCAACAGGCACGGAAGCAACAGCACTCCACAACGTGTGAAGCTTTAACAGCGGGCGAAAAATTACGAAGAAAAGTGCCGTTCTCGTCGAACTTAAACGAGATTTGTAAAGTTTTCGTTGCCATTTCCGCGCTCGTTAATAAATGAGAAAAGTGTACTCGGTTCGCGATAATAAGGTAACCGCGATGAATCGCGTTGTGCTGTGAACAGTGCATGGAAAGAAGATCGATCTAGGAACAGCCGCTGTCGTCAAATGGAGTTTCTTCACGCGGACGCGTTCGAGCCCACGAAATGGTGAAATGATCGTGTACTTAGTGTATCGTGGACGCTGCAGCGATTTCTAAGAAGCAATTGTCCAAGACTAAGATGTACCCCGCGCCGGCGAGACATCCCGCCGCTCCCGTAAGTACTCGCATCATTACTCTTCCGTTGTAGCGGGGTAGAAATTAACATCGTGGCATTTGCGAAATGAGAATTGTAGTGTTATAAAATTTCAAGTATGTATTTAACGGAAAAGAAAGAAAAAAAAAAAAAGAAAAGAAAAAAAAACGCAGAACGAATAACGCTGAAATCTCATTGTCGCTTAATTTCAACCGAGTTCGATTTTAACCAACTTTCAACTTAACGTGCAGCCAAGTTAGCAAATCGACGGAACATTTTCTATTCTGCGTTCGGCATTTTCCCAGTGTGCTACCGTATATATTTCTTCGCTTACGCCACGGTATACTCGCCACGGTATACTCGACATTTTTGCTTAGCGTTATCCATTATAGCGCACGTCAAAGGGTAATATAGTGTAATTACCGCTCCGCGCGAGGGAAGCGAAAGAGCACGTGGGAGTCAAGTCGACCGCTCTCGCACTTCGCGTTGCTAATTCGAAGAATGTTTGATTGTTCCCCGTGCACGTCCCTACGCCACACACAACCTCCGCTCGTGCCACTCTTTTTACCGTCATAATTTCACGCGTCGCACAAGCTCAAAGTCCCATACGATGAAACGGGACCACCGGCGAATTTGCTGACACACGAACGAGAGAGAGAGAGAGAGAGAGAGAGCGAGAGCGAGAGCGAGAAAGAGGGTGGGAGGAGGCGACCATTAGAAATTATGAGGATTATTTATAGAGCCCGCAAGTCAACGTACAACAATTGCCGTTCATAGAACCGGCCAATGGGCGATATGTGGGCACCACTCGTTTGCTTATTGACGCTGATGTGGCGCCGCTCTGCTCAAGGGGCACAAAGTGGCTCGATCGTTTCTTCGACGAGTATACTCGAAGCGCACCGACGAACGTACGAAGCGGTGGCGATAACGGTGCCGTAATACTTCTCTTAATATCGCGCTTAATGGCCGATAATTATTGCGGTGACTAATAATACAACTATACGATACGACATAATTGGTTTAAGGGAAATCAGAAAAAGTTAAGCAAACGTTACGAACGATAAGCCATAATTTTAATAAGCGGGCATTTTCGAGAACGGAATGACGTCACACGTCGTTTTTTTTTTTTTTTACTGTCGCGCAAAACGACTAAGAATTATTAACGGTAACTAGAATAACGTAATTAACAACTCAAGAGGAGTTGCGAAAATTTAGATATATAATTTTTGTTTAGATAATAACTTCTTCCTTTACGAATATTATCTAGTTCATTTGTAAGTTTATTTAGTAATTCTAATTTATGTAAATTGCAAAATTCAACATATGTATTGATCATTTTATAACATTGAAGATATTTATTTGCGCACTAATTTCATAGCGTTGGCTCTTACGTGTTCTTAATTAAGCTCTACTTATTATCGTTTTATGTTAAGAGTCTCTTGATTATTTATATGAATTTATGGATACTCTTGAGAGATACATGGCGGATCGTCTGTAAAGTATGCGAGACAGGTGATAATTATCGCGATTTATTATTAAACCAAGTAATTAATCCAAGAGAACGAAGTTGGACCCTGTTACGAAAATCGTTATTTAACAGGAAATTCTTCGCATTGCGTGCTGCTGAAAAAATGTAAGCTAGTCTTACATTACGACAAGTACTTATAATGTCTTTTGCTTCCGTCATTGGCGCGATTCGAATGACGTCTTTCTGTCAGGGTATCATTAGCGATTTTTTAGTGGAAACGAATGGAAATTAATCTTTTTTACGCTGTAATACAAATTTCGTGTGATAATGTTGCAAAGAAAGCAATAACTTAACCACCGTTAATAGATCACGGAAATAAAGTTTTGCTGAAAAGCGTTAAAAAGTTCAGTTAGATATAGAAATAATTTTGTTCGGACCATCAAAATAATTTTGTAAGACGCTTAAATTGCTAAAATGTTAAAACTTTGTGCGGTACTGTTATTCGGATTTGTATCTATAATAGCTAAATTTTTAAATACTTAAGTAGAACTATTCTTTCCGTGCGGACGCATAATCGAGTGTAATCATCGTGGCACGCGATTGCCTTTTTACGTATGCCTTTCATGGAGCAGTTATTTACTCTTTGGTTGGAAGAGATGTGACTGATAAGCTCAAATAAAGATTCGTATTAATGTTCTACACGGAAGGAACAGTTTTACTGAAGTGTTTATTTAGCTATAATAGATCTGAAAATAATCTTGTTGAATTATTAAAATAATTATGTAAGATGCCAAAGCTGGTTGTTAGAATATCAAAATTTTTTGCAACGTTGCTTATTATGCTTGAATTTCCTACTAATTATTTCGATGGTCCGACAAAATTCTTTTAAGATCGATCTGTATCTGTTAAATTTTTAGATCCTTTTGCAAATAATAAATTTCGTTCTTTCCGTGTACAAACATGACTTGGCTGCAAATTTTGCGTATCGTTATTGAGAAAAATTGTCAATGTCACTTGAAACATTCGTAAACTTATCAACGTGAAGGGTATCTTTAATTAATAATATGGGCCTTTATATACCTGAATTTATATTGCATGCGAAAATCTGTAACGTAACGTACTTATATATTTTCATATGTGATATTTTTCGAGAATGCATAACTCCATATAAAATTATTTTCAGATCTATATTTAACTAAATGTTTTAACACTTCAGTGTCTTGGATCCTTCGTTGTAATCGATGAGTCTTGAATCTCTTCGATTTCGATCTTTCCTACATATATTTTTAATTTTATACAAATGAATTAGAAAGTCTCTTGACGTATTGCTTTATGCGAGAGCTATCGATTCTTAAATCTTAGGTTTAATCCCGATTAGGATTCATTTTTATTCCACATATATCTTAATCTTCGATCTCACTTTATCTACATATTCTGAAGGATTGATATAAAGAATTTTGAAAATTGTGAATGAAGGAGTATGAGGTGAAATAGTTAACCCGTATCGAAAATCCATATTTCATACATATTTCTATCTTATAAAATTTATACATTACATGTATAAAACCTTCATTATAAGTTACGTTTCCATTTGTATAAATATGATATGTAAATATAATACAAGATATGTTGAATATGCACAGATATACGTAAAAAATATAAATTATTCGAGTGAGATTTAATAATCCTATACGGAAAGGATTGTTTTACTGAAGTATCTCTCTCTCTCTCTCTCTCTCTCTCTCTCTCTCACTCAAAAATTTACCTTTATTTAGACACAGATCTGAAAATAATTTTGAATCATCAGAATAATAATGTCGCGCTCAAACTTTTTGTAGCATTAATCGTCATGATATTTCCACGTAATTAGCCAAATTTTTAAATATTTTAGCAAAATTGTTTTTTCCGTGAATGATGATCCGATTTTTTATTAAATATTGAACAAAGAAATACTTTCTGAAGCGCATATATTTCTCTGATTCTCGATTATGTACTTATATTTTTACATTTAAAGTCAGTCACGTATTTCGCGTGACGGTTGATCATCAGTATAACAGAAAAGCTAGATGTTAGGACGAATGAGCCATTCTCCTTGCTTGCCAACCAAATAAACGAATGCACGCTGGCGAGCGTCACGCTCGTAATTCTGTAACTCGATCCTTCGCGAGGAGGATAATAAAAGGCGAAATAGTTATTCGCGAGAGTCGTCCGTTGTTTTAAGACGCGATGTCTAGAAAACCGTGAAAAGCGAGAAAGTTGGGAAGCACCGACAAGAAAAATCGGAGAAGAGTGTCGGAGATATAAAGACCGGAGAATATAGTTTTCACAATTTCCTACCGCGAGATGGATAGAAAAAAGGTGCGAAATTGCTCATTTGATAATATTTGTCGCATACTTCAATAACAATTACACAGTGAATTACGATAACACAAGAATAATGCTTTTCTTATGTTATACCTAATAATTCTACTTTTTCATTATTCCATTCAATTTTTATCCGACAAGAATAAATTTTCATCTCGCAGGGGAATAACCGTCTCCGAGCAAAGAATCCTTTTCTTATAACTCAATCAAACTGTGACGTTTTTGTATACGCTCTTAAATAAAAGAAAATATATGCAACGCGTTTTACGTTTTACGATCGTGTCAGCTGTCACTCGTGCGATCATATTCGAAGTTTCTCGTCGTTGTTTTTTTTTTTAAATTAAAAATAAAAAGATTCCCAATAGATTGTAGTTAATAGCAATGGCGTAACTAGGTGAACGTCCTCTTGTCTCTCTCTCTCTCTCTCCCCTCGTTTCTCTGTCCCCTGCTCACGTCTTTGATTAATAGTTATCTCTCGTGTCGCGGACGTGCTTTAGAAGTTAAGCGGGAACAAAAGTGCGGCGAACGAGCACTCGCAAGCAGCAGCAGCAGCAGCAGCAGCAGCGTCTCTGCCGCGGCGATATAATTTGCGCAAATGTAGGAAGTAATATCGCGGGGACAACAAGAGTCTCGCGACGCGCTCTTTGCAAAATGCGCCTGGCTGAGCGCGCGAGCACGACGAGAGCGACGCGAGCTACACCGACAGCGGGACAAAGGGACGCCGCTTTGTTTCTCCATCCCTTTCTTCTCTCTTTCCTTTCTCTCACTCTCCTCTCGGCCCTATCCGCCTTCCAGCCGACCCGTTCCTCGCGTTGCCTTCCCGCGCCCTTTCGTGCCGGTTCGCCGTGTCGTTTCGTGCTCCAGATTCCGCGGATTCTACGCGCCTCGCCCTCTCATAGAGAGATCGCCCGCACTGGATTTCATATAAAAAATCTCGCCGTTTATTGCTTTATTGCCTCTCTTTCGTGTAAAAAAGAGAGAACAAGAATATAACATTTTCAACTGGTAAAATTACGCGTTCGTGGTTTATGATCATTACATGCTATACATGAAACTAAAACCTTTGTACAACTCTGTTGATATATTTACATAAATCTTTATACAAATATATATATATATATA